GAGAGAGAGAGAGAGAGAGAGAGAGAGAGAGAGAGAGAGAGAGAGAGAGAGAGAGAGAGAGAGAGAGAGAGTTACATGCTGCACCTGCAACAGGCTGCACGGGCCATTCGAAGATGCTGTTGACTGGCTGCACAGGCCATTCCAAGATGCTGTTGACTTCGTTCAGGAAACAAGGGAAAATACCTTTCATTTAGTTTCTTGTGCAAGGAACATGAGTATGGACGAAGCACAGAAATCCAGATTGCAAAGTCACACTGAAGTCCAAGTAGTCAAAGCAAGAGCAGATAGCACAATGGAACCGAGTAACCATCCATTGTCCAAGCCCAACAGGGCAACACCAACAGCATAACTCAATGTAGCTCTCTGTCTTGAATGGCGCCAGGCGCCCTACCTACTCTACAGCCTATCACTACAACTACAGTATGACAGCAACCAGACAACTTGACGACCAGCGAGTGATGATGTCAACACCAATGCCGACCTCCCTCCTCCATCAGGTCCGTCTCTCTCTTCACCCACACTCTCCCTTGTTATCCCACACAGCGCCCTTCACCTCCGAAGAACCACCTTCGCCCTCACCTCCCCTGCGCCCTCAGGCAGCCCTGCTATGGCCGCCAGCGCCCTGTGTACAGGCAGCGCCCTACCGCCTAGTGCCTGCCTGTCTCGCACCTCAGCCTAGCGCAGCACAGCAGCTCGCATTTGCGCAGCGTGCCGGCATTGCCCGCAATGGCCAAGATCCCTGCGCACTCGCCCTCCTTGCCTATATGCCAGTGTTGCGTGTGGGCGGCCTCCCTTCAGCCTGCGTCTGGGCCCCAGTGCCTGAACCCAGGCCCGATGCAGTTGAGGCCCGGGGGATGCAGTTGCGCCTCTTTCGTCAAGGCCTGCGGCCAGATTCAGATAGTGGGATGATTTCCCTTTGGGATTTTCGGCCTCTCTACCCAGCATGCATTGTCGGCCTCACGTTCAAGTGCCCAGGGCCTAACTAACTCAGAGGCCCTGGGATTTCCACATTTGCAGAGATCCGAGACTCGGTGCACTCCAACCAACTGGCGTGCTGCAACTGTATGGACCCCACTTCGTGAAATGTTTGCACAGAGGGCTCTTGTTGATTTGCTGGCCCGCCTTCACTTAGGGCGGGCACTAGGCTTTCTGTGGCCTTAGCCCTGAACATGTTCATCATGGCAAGGCCCCTTCTTGAGGGCTCAATCCTCACACTTGTGTGTATGTCTGTGTGTGTGTGTGTGTATGTCTGTGTGTGTGTGTGCGTGTGGGCTTGTGTGTGTGTGTGTGTGTGTGTGTGTGTGTGTGTGTGTGTGTGTGTGTGTGTGTGTGTGT